ATCATTGCGCTCTTCCCGGCTGAGGCAGATCGGTCGCCAGCCATCGGACAGTCACTCACTGTGACTCACAGCACCTCACATTGACTGCCAGCCACTCACTGTAGCTCATGGCAGCCCACTGCAGCCCCACTGCAGCCTACCCCGTCACCGGCAACTCATGGCAACCCAGCTCCAGGTTGAGCTGTTGTTCACCGTCTTAGCTGTAGAGGGAGCAGCATCACTGGCTCATGTGGGATCCGAACCAGCGGCCCTGTTGCTCAGAGCTCATGCTCCCAAGCCAACTCTTAACCAATGAGCTACTAGGCCGGCCTGGGAAATCAAAGATTTTGTGTTTTACTAAAATTATTTCCTGTCCTCTGTATCATCAGGTTTTTGAATGCTTAGGGAAATAGTCTTCGTAATATTAAAAGAGCTAAATTTTGCTTACAACTATCTAACTTTCTGTATTTGCCTGTGAAGTCTTTCATTGTCATCATGATTAGATAACTAAGTTTTGTTTCACAGAGACCTATGATCCTATTTGATCAATTGTTTTAAAACTTTTGCTATGTTTGACAAACTTCCCAAAATTCAAAAATTAAATAGTCTTTTTCTTAACCTAAAAATAACTTTGAGATTTTAAAGAAGGATCCTTGAAACATTTCAAAGGACATCTCTCTCTCTCTCTCTCTCTCTCTCTCGCTCTCTCGCTCTCTCGCTCTCTCGCTCTCTCGCTCTCTCGCTCTCTCTCTCTCTCTCTTTATAAAAGGGGAGAAATAAACTAATTAGGCCTATTTGGGATGCTAAAATTATATGGAAAGCATTATCGAATAAGAAATAATAATTATGTTATACTTGCATGGATATATTATTAAAATAAATGTTCTAGAAATTATATTAAAATTCTAAGAATCTGCAATGTCCTAATACGTTTTAATTTGCAGTTCTAGTTATCTTAAAATGTTGTGTGTTGCAAATTTCTTTGTCAGTGCATTGTAATCAGATCTTTAACCATGTCATTTTAAGTCTTTGTCATTTACAGAGTCATTGTCTTACTCTGATATTTTTTGCAAATATGTTTCATCTTCAAAGAGATTATTCAGGGAGAGGACTCTGACAATCTAAAATACAGGATTCTGATAAACTTCCAGATTATACCTTTGAACTGGGTGAGGATTTGCAGAACTTTAAGGAAAATCTGGATTCATAAAACTGTTAATAAAAAGCAAAATCAACAAGAATGAATAACGTGGGACTGAATGAACTGATGAGGATAATTACAATTTTTATGACTTTCTAATTGAAATATTGCTGGTTCTTTAATCTTTTGTTTTTCCAGGTATAAGGAAACCTTTTCTCTCAGGCTACTGATGACTCAGAGAAATTTGGTAAATTACACCTTTGTAAGCAGAATTGACACATTTACCTTTCACTCCCTACTTGATCCCTCCAGAATTCAGAAACTCTCAATGAGTATTCTTATTTTCATGGCAATATGGTTATTTGCATAAGTTAATAAAAATCTGTTCTCCTTGTAGCAGGACACAGTTGGAAACTGGTTATACTACCAAGGCTTCCACTGAAATGTCATATTTGAGAGAGACATGCACAGACTTAGGTATGAGCAGACAACATTAAGGAATTCAGATTGACTTATGGAAGCCAGTAAAACCATTGGATTTATCAGCCTGGTACTTTACTTACCGGGTTCTCAGGTGAGTAACGAAGGTCACTTCCTGACAGGTGCAAAACCTCAAGTATTTGTGGGACCTCAAGAAGACAGCAACTCACCCAAAGCTATAGGTATTACAGGCCATTTCTTCACTTTATTCCTCATAAAGGAGTTGTCAGATGGCAAGTCCTTGCCTTGGCTTTTCTGGCCTCAAGGGGCCTTTATGTTCAGTCTGAAGGTTCCTTATGAAAAACTCCAGCAAAGCAGATTTAAAAGAGCCTATATGGTTACTTACTGTTCTCGCTGTTCCTATGTAAATAACAGGCCAACTTTATTAAAACCAGGTTTATTTCGCAAACAATTTAGTTTTAATTTGGCTATCTTTGGTAAAAATGAGGGTGATTTTAGAGAGAAAAATTATGTTTCAGTAATACACCTTTTTGGATATTTTGATATTGGATATTCATTATTTTTTGAGGTTTTGTTCATACCTATAAACTGGACTGGACCCTGAATCCTTCTAGTTTACTCCAATATCTAGCTATGACTCTGCAAACTAACACTTTCAATTTTTCTCCTATCCTTTGACTCATAATCATTGAGAATTACAACTGCCCTTTTCCCAAAGCCATACAAGCTGAAGTGGGACAACTTGATATAAATTTCAGAGAAATCACCACAAAAGTTTATATAGAGACAATCTTTGTGTTTCTTGCACATTCAAATTGAAAACCAGGAGACTATCAGATTGTCACTGCCTACCTTCACTCCATCTGAAGATGCTTCAAGCCAGAAACTTTGAAATCTTCTTTTTAAATTTTATTTTATTTTTAAATTAGTTTCAGCTGTACAACACAGTGCAATAGTTATTTATACTTTTTACACCTCTTAAAATCTTCTTGACTGGCTGTCTTCAGAACTCAGAAACTGGGATTATAGATAGTCTGTTTCAACCACTAACCATTGTTTTTCTCTTGTTTCCATAGAGATGCCTCTTATTAAACACCTGATTATTGGCACCATAAGCCTAACTTTGGGAGCCACTTGCATCATTACCTCCTGAAACAAGAGACAACTGTTTAACTGAACTGAGCTTTTCTCAAGACTGAGACTGGTTTCTAAAACTAACACATAAAAATGTCTTAATTGCTCCTTTCCTAATGCTTCAATCTAAAAATCGGCACAAATATTGAGCTGACTATAAAATCATCTATGGCGAGCATGTCCCCCTTTCGAGGGGCATGATAGACCCAAGGAAGGCATTGCCACCTTGGCATTGAGGGACTTTAAAACATTTTGTTTGACCTACAATGTTTTCAAAGAGAAAAATCCTGATCAAAAGGGGAAATGAGGAATAAAGTGAAGAAATAAAATGGAGTAGACACAAGGCAGGGAAAAACCATGTGGTGTACCGCAGGGGTGGGGTGACCCACTGGAGTGACCTAGATAGGGCCTTGGGTCCCCCTCTGCCTCCGCCAGCGGGGGCTGAAAGTAAGTCATGGGGTGAGAGGGCTGCTGTTAACTCACCCCAGTGCCCCCACACTTGCCCACTTATGGGAAGGGGACCTGAAATGTGAAAGAGGAGTGAGAAGTTTCCATCCCCTCTCACTCCCCACAGGGCCAGGTGGCATCAGATTTTCCTCCTGTCCCCCTCCCCACTTCTCCATGGCATTGTCAGACACCATCCTCACCCCATCCCTCTCTCTCAAACACCCTCCAGACTCTCCCTTCAGCCTCTTCTCTTCACACCCCATGAGCTGTGGTTCTTGCTCCTTGGAGGAGAAGAGATGACTACGGGGTAGTGGCTAAAGGGGCCTTCAGGTACCCAGTAGGGGAGAAGTTCTGAGCCCCTTACTGTTTCATTCCTTAGCTATATTCAGGGTTATTCTGCAGCTGGGCCTTTCTGAGTGGTGTTTGCCTTCCCCTGTAATGATCCCTCTCTCACTGGTGGGAGGGACCCAAGAGAAAAGAGTGAAACGTGGTGGGGATCATGTGGCTCTGAGAATCAGGATGCTTGGAGATGCTTTGGGGCTTGAGGAGATCCCCTTCCTTCTACCCTACAACTGGGCCAATGCTTGGGGAGAGGCAGGTCAGAGGCAGAGAGTGGGTGGGACCGGTAGACCCCCATCCCAGGGATCAGATACCATACGAAGTGTTACGAATTGTTTCATACAACCAGAAAAACACAGAAAATATTTAACCAACACTTGTGTACCCACCCTGAATTAAGACATGTTAGCGTCTCAGCATCTGTATTGGCAGCACTAAAACTGCGCATTCTTTATTTCAGCAGGTTCAAAATCAGTTTCCAAACAGTCTCCTACATTTTCCCACAGTCACGGGGTCTCTGGTGTCTGGGTCCCCAATATCTGGGCTGATTCACACACTCCCACCATGCAGTCGTTTAACCCCGGGACACGGGGTGGCCATCACCCCACCATCACAGCCCCAAAGAAGGTCTTCCCTCTCCTGTAGTCCACCATATCGGGATGACTGATGTTGACATACACCCTCTCGCCCCTCCGGAGCTGCACCAGGCCGCCGAACCCCACGCTCGTATACCAGAGCCTTCGGGTCGGGTCCAAGGCTGGGTTCACGGTCTCGGCGCCCTCGAGCAGCAGCTGCGGAGTCCCAGGTCCATAGGCGCCCCCCGCCCGGTACAGCCGGCTGCGCAGCGTGACCGAGCGGCCGAGGGGGTCCCCGTCCGCAGGGGGCGCCCGGCCTCGGTAGCCGACGTGACAGTAGAGGTAATAGAGGCCGTCCCGCGGGAGGGCTAGCCCCTCGGCGCGGGAGAACTGTGTCCCGCTTCTCAGGAACGCCTCTTCTTTCTTCGCCTCCCAGCCCAGCCCCTGCCCCTGCGTCCAAGCGCCTGCGAAGAAACGGGCCGGTTGGCTCTCGGGAATCCGATCCCGAGAGGAGCGATCCAGGCCCAGGACTCCTGGGAGGGCCCCTGGGCAGAAGGGAGGGAGGACTGGAGTTTCTAACCCCCTGCAGGAACCGAGCCGGGAGTGGGGTGGGATGATGGTGCTACCTCTGCAGTAAGTACGAGCTGGGGACTGAGGGAACCTGGGTGTAGGGTGCGGATTGGTGTGCTGGGGAGATCCAGCCCGGGTTTTGCCTGCTCCGGGAGGGAAGCAAAAAGCTAGAACGCGGGAAAAGCGGAAGGGTGGACATTTTAGGGGAGAGAGGTGGTGAAGCGAGTAGGAAACCCAGCACTGCCATAACAGAGCAAAGAGGCTCTAACCGCGGACTAGCAGAACTAGTCCCCTTGGACTATTCAGGTCAATGAGATCCTTACCTATGAGATGGGCAGCAGGGATCTTGGGGCTGAGATCTGTTTCTGCATCCTGCTCCGGCAGCTCCTGGGACCCTGGAAGGGGCGAAGAGTCCACGATTGGGTCAGGGCGGCTACCTATGCATGGTCCCCCTGAGAGGACAGGGCGCCAGAGCCCAGGGATGGGGCACCTGGATTCCTGGAGATACAAAGGAGGACAGCATCTGGGGGCGCAGATAAATGGGAGCTGGGAGTTCCTGAGGGACTGGAGCCCTGGAGGGGAGACGGTCTGCTCTTACCCAATCGCTGCTGGGCCTGTGCCTGTGCCTGTGCCCCTGGCTCAGTGGTCCCTGTTACCTGGGTGGGTGGGGTCACAGTGCCAGAGTTCAGTCTTAGCTGATGCCAACCCCACCCCTCCAAATGTAGACCCAAGCTCCAAGCCTGGGGTTTGTCCCATCAGCGGCAGCCCAACACCCATCTCCTTGGAAGGGAGAGCAAGCAAGGCAGACGTACTAAAGGAGAGAGACAGAGACCTGAGTACGTCTTGGGAAAAGGAGAGGAGACAACCAGGAAGGAGCTTGGAGACATTAGGATGCAACAGCATTTCAGGAATATGGAAAATGCCAGCAAAGAGGCAGACCAGACAGACATCCCCACCAGGGGCAGTGGATTCAGCTGAGCAGGTGAGGCAAGAGACCCTAGGCATAGCCAGAGGTAAGTAAGCAAGAGCAACATACAGCCCTCTGGGGCACTTGTTGCAGCCACTCACCAGTCCTCCCTGCTCCTGGGGCACCACGACCAGCACAGCCAGGACAGTGATAGGCACAGCCAGCAGCAGGGTCACCAGGGAAGTGGCTCCTGCCACAGCCAGTAGGAGGCAGCCTTTCCCCTGGGGCCTCCTCCCCCAGCCCTCCAGCCCCAGTGCCCCCATGGAAACTGAACCAGGGCCCAGGCAGGGGGGCTTTCATACCTCAGGGGTGGGGCCACCCCCTCCCCATAGACCCACACACCTGGCTGGGACTTTCCACACACCCCTGCTCCCCTCACCCATCTTCCTGTTTACCCAGAGCTGGGGCGGGGCAGCTGGATGCCTGGGTTCTCTGAACTAGGGAAGGAGTTGGGGTGAAGAGACAAGTTTTCAGGGTAGATCTAGAGGGGGTCTTAGAGATCTTCTGGCTCAATAGGGAGGGAAACTGAGGCCCAGGTAGAGCAGGTAACTTGCAGGAAAGTCAAGTAGCAAAAATGCAACGAGAATATAGAACTCCTGATTTTCAGTGCGGTCTGAATTCTTCTACACCCCCAAAGTGGGTGCTAGAGAGAGGGTTGCATCCACATCCCTGAGGTCAAGAACTGGGGTCTTGCGGGATGGATGTCTGAGTACCTGAGAAGAACCTATCCCCACACTGCACTGACCTCCTCCTCCATTCCCATGCTCTCCCCTAGACCCTAGAGATGGGTCCAGTGATGGCAGCTGAAGGGGGTCTGCCTCACCACAGACTACTGCCTCCTGAGGAGGGATGGAATGAACATCACCTCCCTTGGTACAGTGCAGACAGGAGGGCAGTGAGGCAGGCTCTCCAAGAGCTTCACAGCCCAGAATGAGCCCCATCCGTTTAGCAGGTGCTGACCAAATGTTTATGAACAAGCGAAGAAAGGACAAATAAATGAGTAAGCAACACCAAGCAGCACCCATCAAATTGAATGGCATGGTAGACAGTGCAATAGGAGTTCAGGGACGGAAAGACCAGGCCTGAGGAAGTTGGAGGTGGTCATACGTTAGCTCCCCTTCTTGATGACGTCTCTTTGTGTTCAGGTAATAAATAATGATAATAATAATAATTTACCTAATATACAGATAACACTTAGCTTGTGCCTGCCACTAATCTATACACTTTATATATAATAATTCTTTTAATCCTGACAAAAACACTATAAGAGACACAGAGAGGTTAAGGAACTTGTGGAAGGTCACACAGTAGTAGCAGAGTCAGGACTTGAACCCAGGCAGTCTGGCTTCAGACCCTTGACCACAGACAATTTAAAAACTCAGTACTGACTTCAGGTTTGTGCATTTCACTGCATGTAAATTTTGCCTTCCTCAGCCCCGTCCCCCAAAAGAAATGCAGAAACAAATACTGAACCTGAGTAAAGGGTTTAGAGATGAAATATATCGATATTAGCAACTTTGAAAGGTATCAAAAAATTGAGATGATTGATAGATAAGCGATAAAGCAAATATAGAAAATGTTGATTGTAAAATCTAGATGGTAGGGGACATGTTTACAGTACAATTCTTACCATTTTTTCTATGTTTAAACTTTTTAATAATAAATGTAAAAAAGCCTGACTATTGTCCTATGGTGGGGCAAGGGGAACATTGTGGATGGGGGAGGGAGAGGAAGTAGCAGAAAGTTTCTGAATTTGGAGAAGGAAATGCAAATGCATATGGGGGGGGCACCAGGTTTCCTCCTGACCCCTTGCCTCCACATGAGCTAACTCCCGGCTGTGAAGGACTGGGTGTGCAATGCTCCAGCACCCATCTCCCTCTCCATCAGTGCCACGAAAGGCCTTCATCCAGGTCTCTATCGAGAGGGCCTCAGACCACTACCCTTCCCCTTACTTGTTTAACGTCAGAATGCTGCCTCCAGCAGGAAGTCCACCTGAATTGGCCATACCTCCTTTCCCAACACCAACTTGTCATCATCTTGCTATCCTATATCTATCAGCAGTGCTTATATAGATCTAATCTGGCTGCTTTTGACTTTCCTGTTTGTTAATCAGTCAGTGAAGCACCCTGCTAGACAGAGCTCCAGAACACCAGGTGAGTCACCCCAAATCCACCAGAGTTCCCAGTCTAATGTGGGAGCCAGGGTGCTTTGTGAGCTCTTAGTGGATGCAGTGTGAGGGGGAATTGGAGAAGGCACCCAGAGGAGGTGGGCAGTCACTCGCTACTTGTAGGATCAATGGAAGGCTGGAGCTGAGGGCAATTGCAGGCTTTGTTACATACAGTCCCAGGAGTCTGAAAGGAAAGATGTCATAACCCTAACCCTCAAAGCCTAACTTCCTCTCCTAACGGGAGGCACCGAGGATGGGGGAGAAGTTAAAGCCAGAGGAGAGGCGGGAATGTCTGAGGTGGCAACACTTCTCTCCACCCAGGCAGCTCTGGGCAGCACTCGGTCCCCCCACCCCACCCCTGCAGGCCAGAGGCTCTGGGTAAGCTGGGAGACTGCAGGGACCCTGGGGGGTGGGGAGGAACCTGGGGTGGGAAATCACATCCCAGCAAGGTAAGGCTATGAAGAGCGAAGGGAGAGTATGGTTTTGAAGTTTCCTGGGCTCCTGGAGGACTCCTCTGTCCAGCCTCTCTGTCTCTGCTCCCCTCAAACTTAACACAATTCACTTACCCCTACTGCCCTTAGTGGCCATCTTGGGCCCTGCTCTCCACCTGTGCTTCTGCTCCCTACCCTATGCCATACACATCCCAAAATTCCCCTTGTACCCAGGGTCGTCTCAGTTTTCAGACTCTGGTCAGCACATCTGGTTCTGGGGTGAAGTCAGACGCCCCCCTCTTTGCCCTCAAACAGGAACTAGTGGTTGTAGGGCAGGAAGTGCCTGAGGGGAAGTGATGGGGCCCCAGACACTCCTCCATGCCCCACTTCAGCCCATCAGTATCTGCCTGTGGGAAGCAGTTCTCCATTCCAGCCAAATAGGGCCCCCATCTCCCGACTTGCCCTGGGGCTGAGGGAACGGCCTCAGCTGCCAGGTGGCACTGGACACCACCCTCCCTACTTTCCTACCAGGCCCCACATGCACTCCAGACCCTGGCTCCTCCTCCTCCATCAGCCCCCTCACCAGAACCTAGAATTATCTAGTGCTGGAGAGACCCCTAAGAACCACCTGGTCAGCCCAGGGCAGAAGAAAAGGGATGGGATCTGGAGCTAGACAGAGCTGGCCTTGTACCCCAGCTCTGTCACTTCCAGGCTGGATGTCCTTATGAGTCTATGATAGAGTCTCAGGTTCCTCAGGGAGATGGGCACCACAAGACCCTACATGGTCTTGAGGATTAGCAGTGACGAATGGAAAGTGCCTAGTTCAGGGGTGGACATAAATGAGGCTCCTCAGCCTGGGAAGATTGCAATCTTACGGATGAGGAACTTGAGGCACGTGACTCGCCCCAGGTCATTTAGCCTGGCAGGGCCTGGGCCAGGCTTCCTGACCTTCAGGCCAGTCTTCAGTCCCCAGCCTAATGAGCGATTGTAAGATCTCACAGGGTAAGGTAACCGGCTACACGGGGAGGGTTGTGGGTGCACAGGGGGCGAGTGATGGGTGAAAAGTGGTGTGTGAAGCTCATGAGTAGCGGGGCGGGGCCTCTCAGGACCAGCATGCAAGTGGGCAAGGGACTTCACAGGGAGGCCCAGAGACAACAGGGATGGCAGTGGGAGCCTCTGAGGAGTGAGAGGTCTTGGGTGTGAGTGAGGTAACTGATGAGGGATGAGTCCCTCGGGTAGGAGGTGAGGTGAAGAATCTCTGATGGCGTGTCTTTCTGCCTCAAACTGTTGGAGAGGGGAACTGAGATACCCCCCACTAACCAGGAAGATAGGGTAAGCTGAAGAGGGACAGGGTCCCTCTAATACTTACCCCTTTTCCCTACAGACAAATGCGTTTACCTCTATGTGAGTTTGGGGCTGGGGGTGCTCCTGCTCCTGGTTGTGGTTGTTCTGTCTGCCTGTCTGTGTCGGCTCCATCGGAGAGGTGAGCCCCACCCTGACCTCCCTCATTCACCTCTAGCAATGCCTAGTGTTGTCCCCACCCACACCCTTTTCTACTACTTTCCCTGAAGCCCCCATCAACCCTGACACACCCTGGTGAGGAAGGTGATAGGAGTTGGTGGGAGACGGGAGGGGAGAATGTCCAAAGAGAGAGGCCAGAGCTTCAGCCTGCCGAGGGACCCATTGGCAAGTCAGCAGGAGACAACTAACC